AAAAGGAAGGGGTTGAAAAGACAAGAAAGACGAAAGAACCAACCATACCATTTGCATTAAGAACTCATTATTGCGAAGTCTGCGAATATACAGTGAGACTATGTAAAAAAGCTCAACACGAACAATCAAACTATCATAAGGACAGATTAAGAAGAAAGGAAAACCCAGAAGAATTTGAAAATGAAGAAAAACCAGACAGAATATTTGTTCAAGATGGTAAGGAGTATTTTAAATGCAATAAATGTAAATTCGGTGGAATGTTATCTTCTCAATGGGCTAGGCATTGTGCAACTCTAGAACATCAAAAGAAAAAATGAATAACTCAACTGAATTTTTACGATAAATATGCTCAAAAATATTTATCATAAGATTTGATGCAGGTAGGATTTCTAAGGGGCGCCTTACCTTCGCGATATTTTTTGCTAGAATATTTTCGGACTTCAGATTTCACGCTTTTTATCTAACTGCGCCAGGCCTGTCCTAACTCTTTGAGGCCATACTCGCACGCATACTTGACTCATATTGGCCCGCCCGCCCACACGCAGTGCCAGCGGTTGGTTTCAACCATGTGACAAGCGCACTTTGTCCACAAGCGCTCACACGCGGCGCAAGTAGTTCAGGCACATATGTGCTCATATATTTGCAAACGTGCCCTTTTTTGCGCACTATCTTCAGTCTGACTTTACGGGCTTACCAACCTGCACTCCCAAGCGATGAAGACTACGTTGCTGCCAGCTTTTGTTCACGTTGAAACTTGAAACCAGGCCTGCTGTTGAATGCATAGAGGCACATTTGCGGATTCGAGTCCTTCTAGGGTCACAACTGCAACATGCAGACTTGCAACATGTAAGTAGCTTTTTTGGGATCGCACAATGAGGGGTTGATGAAGCGCAGGGCAGCCTGCCCGCTCGCATCAAATTGGTTTCAACGCTTGTCCAGGAAATGAGATGTCGTGCGCGACCCAAGGTCTTACTGACATCAGAATGGCTGCTGCCTGAGATGCTTTTTGCGGGGTTTTGCCATTTACAGACGCCAGGCCAGAAACCTACTGGTCAACTGCCAAAAAAGCAGAGGCGCGGGCACACGTGGCACGTGAGAAGTTGAAGCGTTTTGTTTGCGTCTTAGGCCATGAATCCCGTGGAGGCTCAGCACCGCAGCCCTGCAGCGCCTTGGCAGACAGAGTCTGTCACTCATGGGCTCAAAAATTCTCGTTTGTAGTCACCATAGTCGCCTCCTTCTCACTGCTTCAGACATGATTTATAACCTGCATGATCCGCATCCGCACTTGAAGCACTTGGGCCTCGAGTCGAGAAGCAGACCCTTTGCGTCCACGTCCTCGTGTGGCAACACAAAACAGTGGTACTGGTATGACAGAGCTGCGGCGCAGTGCTACCTTCTCAGCTGTCAAGCTTTGCGGCAAGACTGCCTAGTTGACCAAGCTACAACAACAGTTTGAATGACATGTTCTACAGTGGGAGTCTGAGAGCGATGGATATTAGCGATGAGAGCCAAGCAGGCATACCCAGATAGCGCGAAGTAGTTCTACTCAGAACCAAAGAGCTACAGGACTGCTCATGCAGGGTGACATTTTAGAGTTCTCCAGAACGAACATGTCGAATTGCAAACCAGGCAAAGAAGGGCCCAACAGGACCAGGTAAGGTGAGGAAAACCTTGTGGAGATTGCTACGAAGGAACGCTATGGTTCTGCCAAATCCAAGCCACATCAGACGTGGGAAGGTTTGGTAAATGTGGTCGCTGCGCCTATCAAACCATGTGCCACGACCGTGGGCACCTGCCATCGACGCTTTCCCCGATCCATGGACGTGGACCTGGTCCATCAAGATCCCAAAGGGGGCATTCCAAGGAAGGGAGGCGCAGGAAGTTGGAAACGCAGCTGAAATCTCCATCTGGCCCTGTCAATCTGCTTTGGCGATGCATCAAACCGACTACAGATGAGTGCTAAATCCGCTCCACTGGTTTGCTTTTTGCCGCGTAAGAGTTAAAAGTAGAGGCAGCATAGCACCACTCGTTCCCTGATGGGGTCGGCTGCTGTCGAGGTGAGAGACATCTTCTTCGAGCTAAAGCCGAGGTACCACGCAGCAGTCTCAGCGCGTTGGCGATGGCCCGCGATCAATTGATAGAGACGGTGTACAGCCGACTCGCATGCCAACCCATGAAACCAAGGCCCTGACTCTCATCCACCCAATTGCCACCTAATTGCTTAGGGTTCTCGATGCGACACCGACAGGAATGAGTTGATTCCGAGCTGGAGTTTGCTTACAGGCCAGCATCAGGCAAAACGCGGAGGCTTGAACTGAGCCTATAACAACCACCGAAGAAGCATCCTGCCAACAGAAGCTTCAAAGCTTCTATGCTTCAAGTTATGCTTTCCCATTTGGGGCGGTCGCGCAAATTCAGTCTTGCAGCGTAGCTGTAAGCTAATTATGCGGTTGCGACCTTTCATCTTTTCGCGGTAGGGCCTTGGAATTTTGCAGGTTTCGACGTTGTGCTTCCTAAGGTATGTGCCAGCGCCAACCTGCACAGACTTCGGCCGGGCCCTGCGGCCTCAGGATATCTCAAACTTAGTGCAGATGAGGAAGGCTTCACAGGGCCCTCATGGCTTCGTGTGCACGTCAGTCGCTCTGTGCCAGGCCGGGTTTTGCGAGTCCTGGCAATTGACACAGCTCATGTAGCGTTGGACTTGACTGATACTAGTAGGTCTCCCAGTATTTGCTTTGTCGAGCTTGATGTGTCAACCAGCTAGAAAGCCAGCAGAAAGCGAGAAAGCAAGTGTGATTCGCGCGCCGCTCTCTCACAGCTGTGTACCACTGCGGGTGGGATTCGTCATGACTCGCCATGGGCTACGCTTGGCACTGTAAAAGTACTTGCCTCACTTTTGCAGCCAGGTTTGGGACTTTGTGGGCCGAAACCCACGTCATCGGATTGGTAGTGGAGCTCTAAGACGTCGGGCTCCTTTCGCTCGCCTACAGTGGCCTCAGCTGCCCCTCGCCTACGCTCGAGCGCCTCGGCAACTTCAGCGCGCGTTAAACGCGGAAGATGTCAACCTCATGGGCTCCGGGAGCTGGCGGGACGAGTGACGAGTTCAGGGAAGTCAAGGATGGCTGCGTCTGAGACGACGAGCGCCTCTCCTGGAGGCCCGGCTCTACTATGGCCAACGAGTCACGCTGCGGCTTGCTGACGGTCAATTTTGTAAGGTGACCGATGTTCGCCACGGGAAGGAAGCTGCTTAGAGCTTTGCAGCATCAGGTCGAAGATGCTCCGGCGCCTGTAGGGCTTATGGTAGCGGCAGCTAGAGAGGACGCTGTAGGCGACGAAGCCAGCGCATCCACATACTCCAGGTTCTCAGCCGTAGCATCCATCACGATGTCGCCATCAGCATGCATCGGCAGCGGATTGGCTTCCAGCGCCAGTCTGCGTCTTCTGCTGACGCTCTTGCTTTGTCTTCTTCTTCGCGGCGGTGAAGCTTTGGCCCCACGCCAGCTTCAGGCAGTGGCGTCGGAGACGTTGCAAGAGCTGCCTGGCGGCCATGTCGGAGACATCCATCGCGTAGCGCCGAGCCCCATCACATCAGCCTTGGTCGCAAGACCCTCGATCAGGTTGTTCTTGTCCTTCGGCTGCTGCGACATGCGATCAGGCCGTGGCAGCTCTACGACCATCACCTCGCTGACAAACTTCGACTCAGTCGTGGAGCTGAGAGCCCTGGCCTGCGTGTCACGAAGCGCCGTGGCGCGGCGCCGCGCCCCCCACGCGCAGGTCTCTGGAATGCGCTTAGACCACACACCGACAACCCTATCTCTCCCCCGTGTGAGATTTGCGCGCCGCGCTTGCGGCGTGAGAGCCACATAGAGCCACCTTTAACCGCTGTGTGCCGCTATGTGCCGCTCAAGGTGCCTCGGTTTGTGCTGGGTGCCCTTCATCCCCCAAACCAGGCTTGGGACTTTGTGGGCCTGAGCCTGCGGCGTCAGAGCAGGAATCACACCAAGAGCAATAAGCAGCCCATCTAACGCCGCCCAAGTCCAGCCATCAGCCCTGCCTAGCTCAACTCTCAACTCACCCTGCCTTGAACGCTTCCAACCCCGCAGCCACAAGACTCGCCAAAAAGCGACGCCAAAACGAATCGGCCACACACGACACATCAATTTATTTGCGCGGGGCATTGCCTTCATTGTCGCATGGCGAGGCTTTCAGCGAAAGTGACGCGGAAGCTCGGGATCTCAGGGAGAGCTCGGAGAGAGAGAGAGAGAGAGAGAGAGACCTGGAGAGAGCTCGGTGAGGGAGCTCGGACAGAGAAACCAAGTCGAGGAGTGAATGTAGGCGGGCGGCACGCACAGGCAACAGATGCCAAAAAGTGGTTCCACGTGATGGGCATGCGCAGGGAGCTCAATGAGCAAAAGAAACAGGCCTGTCGCGTTGCAAAGTGATGCTCAGGCCCAAGTTGTCCGGAGAAGTACTCGCTGCTGTCAGAGGCAGATGCCTGAGTTTCTTCGAGAGATCAGGGACAGTGTTGCAGCAATCCGGAGGCAGCTCAAATCAAGGTGAAGTTCCGTCCTTAAGATGCATAGGCGCAAGACGATAGAATGCGGCCATTGTTGATTGCTTAGGTCACAAGCAAAGAGTGCCATCTCCGAGATGCAGTTAATGTAGTCTAAAAACCTTGCTTCACTTGACCGTGCTGTGTGCATGCAAGATGTATACAGCCAGCTTTAAGACTCGGCAAGGTTTCGTGCGAAGGGTACCAGAACCGTCTCGGCAATACGAATTTCTTTGCCTTGCCTATCTATCTTGGAATATGTTCAATTCCGCAATTGCCCTGGCAGCTTCTGTTAGTGTAACTTTAATGGGTGAGGTGGTAGCCTGCATGGGGTCCACGCTCAGATGGCATTCCTTGGGAGAAAATGCTCGGAGAATGCAAACGCCTGTGCCATGCCTTGAGCCAAGAGTGCCAAGAGTCAATACCAGGCTATTCTTGCCCGTTCCGCAGCTTTACAAGTAAAACCAGCCATGTGCTCCTTCAAAGTATCCAGAGGCTCGAATGATTTGTGACTCGCGCCCAGGCATTCATTCATGTGAATTCGGCACATGTGCCCAGGGCAATGCCAAACACTACGTATTGCCTTGATCTCAGAATCTCACACCAAGGCCAGTTTTGAAACTGCTGACTGAGGCAAAGAATGGGTCACCACAGACGAGGCCAATGGCTTTGCATCGAACTTTGCCACTCATAATTATCATAAGTTTTATAAGGCTTAGGCCACAAGAGTCACAAGGCGCTGCCCCTTCCGTCACAGCCCTTTCTCACCGCGTACATGACGGCCCTCGTCTCGGTGTGTTTTCAGAGACTCCGAGACTCAGAAACGAGACGAGACTTGAGAGGTGCTGGCCCTTGTTGCCCTGGTCTTGGGTGTCACCATTCGCAGCCTGCGGCCACAAGCAAGTCTCCAAGTTGGGCTGAGTGCTCTGACGGTTGGAGCGAAGTGCGATCGTCCATGCTCAGTGTGTCAGGCAGTCAGACGACTCCTTGCAGATGCGGGTGTGGCTATGCACAAGGTGCTCCGGACGGTTCTGAATTTATGGAGTCCATCCGTTTGACTTTGACTTAGGTCAAGAAGACGGCCACTGAGATTGAACGGAAAATATTCCACCTTTGTGGCCTCTTGGTGCCTTTGCCTTGAGTGTTCCATGCTTGTCCATGCTTGTCCATGCTTGTCCATTCTTGTCCAAGCCCGGAGGTCCCGCTAACGTATCAGCTCCTTCTGACGCATGGAGTTTCCAGAGGCCTTTGCGAGCCCGAGCTCTGATCCGACATATACCTTTAATTGCCAGGCTTCTGCGTCAAGCTGTGCTGGACCATCACTGTTATCGGTGTTAGTTCGGATCTTGTGTGCACTGATGCAGCGATGTGAGAGCTTCCAGACTCAGACTCGGGCTCTCCTCACTCTCTGACTCGCCCGAGGTTGCGATTGGCTGCGGGTGCACGTACCTTTTGTGAGAGATCATTGGCCGCTCAAGTCCATTCTGCGGGAGAAGGAAGCTACCACACTCTGTGGAGGGAGCAGCTTCCCTACTGCCGACTGTGCACACTTAGCTCCCTTTGCCCAGACTTGTTTTTGTGTTATATATATATATACATATTGTCCTTTCTTGTTTTGAGAGCTGCCCAAGGTTGGTTCTCGCTGGGCTGTACGCTGGCCATCCAAGTCTTTGCACCTGTGTCCTGCGCTAAGTCAGCTCCGTGCTCCGTGCATCTCCGTGCTCTGTCGCGCTGTGAGTGCTGAGTCACTGAGGATAGCGATGACATCAATCCTTTTCCTTGTCATGGGTGACATGACAGCCGCGCTCATCGGCCGCTCCTTTGGTCAGAGTGTTTGTAGCACCTCGGCCTTATGGCCAACGCTATGGACGAAGACACCCGTGCCTCGCAAGGCATGAAGATCGGGCCGGGCGGCAAGAAATCCGTGGAGGGAAGCATGGCCATGCTGCTCATCCAATTTGTTTGCATTCACCCCGATTGCTTTGTTTCAAAGCTTGCTTGTGGTTTTTCAGGTTCATGACCTGCTTCGCGCCTTGGCAACCCAATTTGGCCCAAACTGCCCAAACTGAACGCCTAAAGACTGGCCAGTTTCTGGAGTCCTGGACGATTTTGTCAAATTTGTTCCTGGCCAGGGTGTGCCTTTTGCCAAGAGGACTTGCTCTATCGCATTCCCTCCCAAGAGACATGCTTCAGTGGAACAAAACACGCAAGAGAGGACCCGTCCTTGTGTGTTGCAACAAGAAAGGCCTGCGGAAACTGCAAGCTTTTCGCCACGTTGCCACAGTCTGTCAGCAGTCAAAATGCCAAAAACGTCGCTCAACATCCTCTATCGAAAGAGCCTCATCACTACCTGATCTTGCTTCAGTACTCTGGTGACTGCTTCTGCCTTGTGGCGTGCCGCACGGAACGCCCTAGTCAAGACAAGCTTCCTACACCTCCCACACCTCCCACACCTCCTTCACTTCCTACACTTTCCACGCCTCCCACACCTCCTACAGCTCCTACAGCTCCTGCACCTGCACCTCCCACACCTCCTGCACCTTCCACCTAAACTTTTCGAAACTTGCAAGCTTAGGTCCTAAGGCAAAGCAGCACAATGAAACCCTGTCCCGAAATCCTCAAACTCCTCAGCCCTTCCCAAAGCCAGCCTCCCCACAAAAGACCTTGAGAACACGCGTAGATCGCTTTCCCTTCCGCCTTCCGCCTTCCGCCTTCCGCCTTCCGCCTTCCTGGGGATCCGCTGGACCAGGATTCGGAACCTGTCAGGTTTTCGGCTGCACAATCTTTAGCCCAGTGCACCTCAGAGAGTACGCGGTGGTGATCGGATCCCTGGTCGCTACACTCACAGAGCTCTACGAGCCCTTGGGTATCAACGACAACGCCAGGTCCCAAAGATGGGTTGAAGGTTTCTGGATAGAGACCCTCCAGGCAACTCATTCTAGAAAAACGTGTCGCAATGAGGTGACCATACCGCTGCTTGGTGACTTGAATGCAAGGGGCTGCAAGAATGCGAGTTTTTTGTGGCGCACTTTTCGGTTTTGCCTAGGTGGCGTGGCATTGACCTTTGGATTTGCTCGAACTTACTCCTGTGAGCCTGCGCGGAGCCCGCTGCTTTGGTACCTGTGAACTCTCACAGACTTTGCAGCGGGTGCTTTCGTTCGGTCGAAGCCGCTGTTCGGATCGGATCTACGGATCTTCGCGTAGAGAAGTGGCTTCGGCAGTTCCCATGGGCCGAAGGCCAGCGGCACTGCAGAGCCTTCAGTCCTTGAGGCCTTGAGGCCTTGAGTTGGCCTCACATCCACGCAACTCAAATGAATCTCGCGAAATCTGGCATACGAGGCACACAACTTGGCGCACGCGTTCGCAGCCATTCCCAATGCGAGAGCTATGAGTCGAAATGGGCACCAAAGCCTCAGGCTTCCCGACAATTCCAGACTTGTTGATCACAAACATTGAGCGCCCTTCATCTCTGACATCTCTGGCACTGTTAGCCATGCTCGCTGTTTGCCATGTCTCGCGTTGAGACACTTCCGAACTTGGACGCACCCTTGCCCGGGAACAGGGCCCTTGGTATCCGGACATCGGCATGGCCACATGACAGATTTGACGAGAAAGCACACGGTTCTTGGAATCTACCCACGACGCACTGGCGCTGTACCAAGCTTCCTGAGCTCTGCTTTAATGGCGCATGCTTTGAGCTTGCGGAAGTAGGTTTTGGGCTTGGGGTGTGTGCAGTGTTGCAATGGGCTTAGGCTTGAACAACGAGGCGTTTGCTGAAAGTTGCTTTGCCAGGTCCCAGACAGTTATGGAGAGTTAGGTTGCATTGCTTTTGCATTGCTGAGGAGGGTTTCTGACACGCTTGATTCGTTGTGCGTGAATTGCAGCGCGGTGATACCATGTTTCGGACAACCTCCCTAGGTTCTCGCGCACCTGAATCCAGAGCTTGAACCTGACAAACTCTGTTTCTGCCCGGCGTTTGGCTGACGCTTAAGTCCTGTCAATACCGGCCAAGTGCTGCTGATCCCCAATAAAGCGCCACAAATTCAAAAAGGCTCGAAGCAACCGCAGCGAAACATGTGCTGCGTGCTGTGTTTCCGCAGCCACACCGCGTTTTGCCTATATAATCTAAGAGTGTGGGACGCAGTGGAGGCCCGCTTGTTTCAGTGAAATTTGCGTTGTTCATCACAAAGCAGTGTTTTCCACGGCAGCGCCGAGCATTTCAATGTTTATTTTTTCAATGAACAGAGTCTTCTTGGGTTGAGCATTCGAGATCTACTTATGTGAACAGCCATGTGTTGGAACATCATCGGGTATGTCGCGGTAGTGACTATCCCGTGGTGGTTGGCTCAAGTTTGGATCCGTCGCGGCCTCGGATGAGCGTCGCCGGGTCCCCACGTCGATCACCCACGTGTTGGAGGAGAAAGAGACTTCGGCCCGGGGCAGGTTGGTGGGGAGTGCCCGTGCGGGTCGACCCGGGTTGCGGATCCTTTTCCCTTTTGGTTTGGATTGTGGTTGTTTGGTCACTTGTGTGTGGGAAGCCCTGATCTTTGGGACTGGGGATTGGTTGTTGTTTTGGGGTCTTTCTTTTGTGGCTTGTTTACCCCAACTTCCCAATTGCCTAGGCACTGGCCCGTGCCCGAACCACAGGTTATCAGCCAGAGGACTTTCCTGCGTGCTTGTGAGCTACGACTACGAGCTCAATGTTGTCGACCCCGCGAAGCTCCGACTACGTGATGGCAATGCAGATATGCCACCGACGATTGAGACTGGTCTCATTCTCTGACTTTTGAAGTTTCCTTTCCACGTCTGATTCTCTTTTGTGGGAATAGGGGTCTCTGGCCGATAGGCTGAGCCTCTTAGGGCTGGGTTCGCGCTGTTGTCTTGGGTTCTGTGGCCTGTGGCCCGAACCAGCCGACGCATGGCGGGCGCTAGCGGGATGGGCTGCGGAAGCCACAGCGCGGATCCTCGCGGCCTCAATGGGAGCTGATATGGATATGGAGATGCGGGCAGGCTTCGCGAAGTGGTGGTGAGTCGTGAGTGGCTGCAATCAGTGAAGACTAGCTGCGCAAGTCGCCTGCCGAGAAGCAGGACTCGGTAAGGTGAGGTGTTATACCAGGAGATCAGGACCACGATAGTGGCTGAAATGAAGAACCAGGGTGTGGAGTCCCGCAATCCTTTGTGCAGTGTCCTTACGGACCCTGCGTTACTCGTGCCCTATGCTCTTGAGGTGGATGAAAGGATAGTGCCGGCCGGGGTGGAAGACGGCTGACCGGAATGGAAAACCATGCGCCAGAGGACTAGCTTGGGTGCGGTGGTGACTGGGATGGCGGCGGACGTCTACGGGGAGAACAGCGGAACAACTTCAGTCCCAGTTTGCAGCCATTTGCTCATGGATGAGCCAGCGGCCAAACGCCCTGCTCCAATTGTGCTGAGGTGGTCGTGGATGCGAGGATTGGTTACCTCGATAGGGGACATGGTTCACTGGGACAGGCCACACATCCCGGCGAAGAACCCCGACAGTTCCACCGACGTTGACGTTGGGGTCGACGACGGGCGGGCGTACTTCGACATGGAGGCCAACTGGCACGCCGAAGGCGAAAATGAGCACATGCTCATCCATGAAACTACACAGCATTCGCTGTGGAGTATCCGAGGCGGTACGCAGCTCGCCGCATGCTCGTTAGCGCACTATGGCCAGAATGTTTGGGCGAGGGTCGGGATCTGCTTCGAGCCTCTGGAGTCCCGTGAGAACCTCTTCTCCGATTACCCTGCTCTGAGGGGGCGTAAAGAGGCACGCACAGCGGGTGATTTTGTACGGACGGGGTTCCATGGTATCTGTCTGCATCAAACTGGAGAAGCCGACGGCGGAGATCTGCAACTTGGGAGGCGATAGCCTACTGCAGTACTTCAACCCGTTTGTGGAATGCAACCCGCATGACCCTAGCATCGTGTGGACCATGCGCAAGTTCTTCGGAACTACACGGGGCCGATAGGCCTGAGTGTGGAGGAGGAGGATCAGAGGCAAAAAGCTGAGGCTGCGCGTAAGACGAAAGGTTCCCGGGGAGGCCTACGACTCCAGTGGAGAAGGCGAAGATCATGGCCAGCGGGGCGTTGCGCCCCTTACACTTCTTGATCTTGTGGCAATAGGTTTGTGTTCCGTAGTTACTTCAGCGTGTCATGTGGGGACAACTCCAAGCTCAGCTTGGTAGTCTATCGTAAGTGCATTTCATTCACGAGGAAGGAAGGGTAGGACCCTCATGGCCACAACTTGGACGGACGGCATTCCACCAACCTCCAAAAGCTACAGGCGTGCAAGGTGTTCCAGCAAACAAGGATTTGACAAGGCGCTCGGCTGAATTCTATAGTTTTTTCTTGGCATGATGCTACTTAAGGAGACAGACATGCGCGCTTGAGCCTAGGGATGCCCAGCAGTGCCTTGGAGCAAAGGCATGCGCGCCGATGTGGCTCAAAGCCAAGCCGGGAATGATGGCGTTGCCCGAGGCCTGGCAACCCCGGAAATCTGAATTCACAAAGAAGAAAGAGAGCGGTGAGAAGAACACGTTTTTTGGCAGAACTTTTTCAAAGTTCAGGCCAACCACATTGCCTTACGTGCGATTTTTCAGGGTCCTACTTACGGTCGATCGGTATGTTAAGAAAACCACGATTTGACCACGTCTGAAAAATCTTACAAATTTGATGGGGAATTTGAAATGGTGGTCTTAATCCAGAGTCTTGACCGGATTTCTCATGTTGGTCTTGCCTTTGGTGCACTAGTGTGGATGGGATCGTTTTTACCTTGGTTGGGGGCATTGGGTGGGTGTGGTCGGATTGGTTTTTGACCACCTTGGTTTCCTTTGTTTAGGGGCTTGAGAATTAGGTGTTCGCGCTTCTGGGGAGTAGCGCCAACTTCCAAACTCGGAGCCAGAGGTGTGTGTTCGAGGAAAATTTGTAGGCGAACAATGTTGATCTACCTCGTACTGCGCTGTAGATGTAGTCCATCATTTTCCTCCCAGCGCGACACAGTCCACTGCTATGAGACAAGCATGTTAAGAAGTCATTCTTCAGACTGGAACGTTTTTCTAGACGGGCATTTGTACTACGTCTAAAAGGTACAGTATGATGCAAAACAAGCTTGGTGACCTACAAATTTTCCTCGAACACATTCCTTTAACAACTTACCACACCTCCGGCTCAGAGTTTGGGAAATTGGCTCCCCCAAAGCACCCAATTCTCAGGCAGCTGGGCAACGGAAATCATACCACACTCGGGCTGAGAGTTGGGGCTTGGATAGAATCAATTATGCTGGTCAGTTTTAGTGGGGAGTTGCTTTGGATTTTTGGAGCTATTGAGAGTGTCAAATATTTTTCTGGAGCACTTGAGGGTCTAACTTCTTGCTTCGTAAAATTTCCTAATACATTGACGGACCGTACTCGCTTGCCCCCGGAGACGTGCGGAAACCATTCCCCTTGCGAAAGTCAAACAATTCCACGCTGAGGATCAAGGAGTGCCCCTCGTGTTCATAAACCTCAAAACAGTTGCACAATGTTGCGACTCCAAAGCAGCATAGCAGCATGTGTGTTTGTTTGGGCGTGGTTGTGCGTGATTGAGTCTATTTCTGGGCCTGCGGCCTCTAGCCGGCTACGCCTCTTTGAAGTTATACCATGTCATGTCATGTTTTTTGTGTGAGAAACGTATCCTGTGCTATGATGCGGCTAGGTTAGGTTACGCCTGTTGCCCGCCCCAAGCCGGGGCATGCCCTAGACATTCTACGCAGGCACAAGGCAAGGAGAATCCGCCGACCCTCTGCCTCCCATCCCAGCCTCTTGCAGAGGGGACCGGCGTGGGATGACAACTGGAAGTGATTGGAATCTATGATAGTCCCTGGGGGACACATGCCAGCTTTCTGGGCCCTAGCCAGGACCCAAACCAGAAGGCTCACATGGGGTCGCGGCGCCAGAGGCCGCAGAAACAGCAGTTTAAAAAGAGCGGATGCTGGGGCTGCCTTTGGTACTGCTACCTTTTTTTGGGGGGGGGGGGACTTTTCTTCCGCGGGCTGCCTTTGGTAGTACTAGGTAGACCCCGGGGTCTGTGGATACTCGGGCTGGTGTTGGCAGCGTTTCTTTTTTCTTTTTGGGGACTTTCCTGTATGTTGGTTTGTTTCTTGTTCTGCTCGTCTGCTCGCCTGTTGCCTGCCTGCGTGCTGTCCCCCCGCCTGTTTTCTTGTTTGCTCGCTTGCTTCCTGCCCGGGCGATGGCTTGTCCGCGTGCTTTCTTGCTTGTGTCGGCCTGCCGGCCTATTGGGATATGACCCTTGGAGCTGCTTCAAGCGGAAACTGGCACAGCCGCCCGGCAAAGCACGCGGTGGAGGAGGACGCAGAAATCGAGAGCGCGCCGTCGTACTGAAGGCGCCGTGCGAAGGGAGTGTTGTTCTGAGGTTGACTTTGATTGCTAGAAGAGGGGGGGACAGAAGAGACAGTTTCATGCCCTGAGCACGCGATCCGAGGGGGTTGACCCGAGGATTCACCATGGCCGGGGTTGCGCGGAGATTGATCCGCGTACGCGTGTGCGGGCCTTGAAGCCGTCTCTTGTGTTCTCCTCTGTTCTGGCAGGGGTTGATGGGGGGTGATAATGATGTTGGTGCGCTTTGGTTTTTACATAGCCCCCGGGTGGCTATAACTCCCGACCCCCCGGGGATAACCCCAGTAAGGTGAATTGCCGCAGTCAATTGTTTGAGCTTTTTTGTTTCGAGGCCTCCCGGAGGTGTTTTTCCGTGTTTTTGTCCAACCCGAACGGTGCTCCCAGGTACCGCTCCGGCCTTACTTCGGGCTGTTTTCTGTTTCTGGTTTTGGCACGTTTGCGCCGGCTTGGGTGATGCGGAGTCTGTGATGCCGCTTTTTGTGGCCCGTTTTGCTGATTTTTGTCGGTGCTTCCGGGCACGACCCCTCCCGCCCGGGCACGACCCCTCCCCTATTTTTGCCGGCTGGCCTTTTGTCTTCCTAGGTCCTGCCTGCCCGCCTGCCTGCCCGTTTGTTAGCTGGCCGTCCTGTGTGACTGCTTGCCTTTTTTGTTTTTCTCTCCTGCCTATGTGCCTGTCCGCGCGCCCGCTTTGTTGATCGCTTGCCTTTCTTGTGTTCCTACGTCTGTATGTATGTAATGTACTGCAATGCAATGTAATGCAATGCAATGTAATGCAATGCAATGTAATGTAATGTATGCATGTATGTAAGTAATGTATGTATGCCACACATGCATACATACACACATTTTTACATACATACATTACATACATACATTACATACATACAGACATACAGACCTACATACATACATACATACATAGATACATAGGTACATACATACATACATGCATTCCATTCCATTCCATTCCAGTACCTACATACATATATGTATGCATGTATGTATGTATGTATGTATGTATGTATGTATGTAGTGTATGTATGTATGTATGTAATGTATGTTATGTATGTATGTATGTATGTATGTATGTATGTATGTATGTAATGTATGTATGTATGTATGTAGAGTATGTAATGTAATGTATGGTATGGTATGGTAAGGTCAGGTAAGGTATGTATGTATGTATGTAATGTATGCATGTATGTATGTAAGTATGTGTGTATGCACGTACGTATGTAATGTATGTATGTATGTAAGTATGTTTGTACTGAATGTATGTATGTGTGTATGTAGGTAATGTATGTATGTGTGTAGTGTAATTCACTGTAATGTAATGCAATGTATGTATGTATGTATGTGTGTATGTAATGAATATATGTATGTATATAATATATGTATGTATGTATGTATGTATGTATGTATGTATGTAATGTATGTATAAATGTACGTACCTATGTATGTATGTATGTATGTTATGTATGTATGTATGTAATGTATGGTATGATATGGTATGGTAAGGTAAGGCAAGGTATGTATGTATGTATGTAGTGATGTATGTAGTGTATGTATGTATGGATGTAATGTAATGTAGTGCAATGTAATGTATTGTAATGTAGTGTAATGTATGTATGTATGTCTGTATGTATGTAATGTATGCATGCATGCATGCATGCATGTAATGTATGTGTGTATGTATGTATGTATGTATGTAATGTAGGTATGTATAGGTAACGTAATATATGTATGTGTGTATGTATGTATGTATCTATGTATGTATGTATGTATGTTATGTATGCGTGTGTGTATGTAATGTATGTTTGTTTGTATGTATGCATGCATACATGCATTGCATTGCATGCATGCATGCATGTATGTAGTGTATGTATGTATGTATGTAATGTATGTATGTTATGTATGTATGTATGTATGTATGTAATGTATGTATGTATGTATGTAGTGTATGTAATGTAATGTATGGTATGGTATGGTATGGTAAGGTCAGGTAAGGTATGTATGTATGTATGTAATGTATGCATGTATGTATGTATGTATGTGTGTATGTACGTACGTATGTAATGTATGTATGTATGTAAGTATGTTTGTACTGAATGTATGTATGTATGTATGTAGGTAATGTATGTATGTATGTAGTGTATTTCACTGTAATGTAATGCAATGTATGTATGTATGTATGTGTGTATGTAATGAATATATGTATGTATATAATATATGTTTGTATGGATGTATGTATGTATGTATGTAATGTATGTATAAATGTACGTACCTATGTATGTATGTATGTATGTTATGTATGTATGTATGTAATGTATGGTATGATATGGTATGGTAAGGTAAGGCAAGGTATGTATGTATGTATGTAGTGATGTATGTAGTGTATGTATGTATGGATGTAATGTAATGTAGTGCAATGTAATGTATTGTAATGTAGTGTAATGTATGTATGTATGTCTGTATGTATGTAATGTATGCATGCATGCATGCATGCATGTAATGTATGTGTGTATGTATGTATGTATGTATGTATGTATGTATGTAATGTAGGTATGTATAGGTAACGTAATATATGTATGTGTGTATGTATGTATGTATCTATGTATGTATGTATGTTATGTATGCGTGTATGTATGTAATGTATGTTTGTATGTATGTATGCGTGCATGCATGCATTGCATTGCATGCATGCATGCATGTAGTGCATGTATGCATGTATGTATGTATGTTTGTATGTATGTATGTATGTATGTATGTTGTGTATGTAATGTAATGTAATGTAGTGTAATGTAGTGTAATGTATTGTAATGTAGTGTAATGTATGTATGTATGTATGAATGTATGTACGTATGTATGTAAATGTATGTATGTAAAATGTATTTATGTATGTAAGGTGTGTATGTAATGTAATGTAAGGTAATGGTATTGGTACATGTAATGTAATGTAATGTATGTATGTATGTGTGTATGGTTGGTTGGTTGGTTTGCAGTCCCAATGGACAGCTTGTGGGCACAAGCAAACACGGCAACAACACCGCCGCGAAAGGGCAGGTGCAGGTGGGGCCCACGACA